AAAGGTAAATCATTTTCCTGTGTAAATGTCTTCAATGGTTTTTTGGCTACTTTAAGGTAAAACTCAAATTCTCACCTTGGGCTACAAGGCCTTGGAGAACCTGGCTCCTCTGCATCTCCCCAACCCCAGCTTATACCACCACCCTCTCATCCACTACACTCTGGCTTCGCTAGTCTCCTTTCTGTCTTTCAAATATGCCAAGCTCTTTGGTACCTCAGGTTCTATGCTGTCTCCTCTAACTGCAATACTTTTTCTCCCAAACTCTCCAAATGTCTGGCTGATTCTTCTCCTTCATGATTGAAGTCAAACGTCATTTTCTCAGAACATTCTTTCCTGATTACCCAACTTTAAGTAGCCTCCATAGCAGTTCCCTCTGCTTCATCATCCTTCCTGTTTCTTTCATGGTATTCATTACAATCTGAAGTCATCTTATCTATTCATGTATTTGCCATTGGTCCCCACCGAGAAAGTAAGATCTGTTTTGTTCACCAATATATCCTCAAAGCCTACAGGTGCATGATATAGAGTAGACTCCTTGTAAATATCTGTTCAGATGAATGAAATCAACATTCCAAGCCGGCTCGGTAGCTCAGCCTGTAATCCCGCACTTTGGGAGGCTGAGGTGAGTGGATTGCCTGAGCCCGCCGTTTCTAGACCCGCCTGGGAAACTTGGCGAGACCTCAGTCTCTACAATAAATCAAAAAAATTAGCCGGCCGTGGTAGCGCACGCCTGTAGTTCCAGCTACTTGGAATGCTGAGGCGGAAGGATCGCCGGAGCCCAGCAGGTCGAGGCAGCAGTGGCCGCACTCCAGTCTGGGTGACAGAGTGAGACTCCAACTCAAAAAAAAAAAAAAAAAAAAGAAAAGAAATCAACATTCCAGATCAGTGACAGATCTGGAATTCCTTCTTTGCAACGTTGAGGCGCTGCCCATTTCTTCCAGCAGGTGGCGCCAGAGCTGCACATGGTCTTTAGCAGAGGTGATGGTGGAGGTGTGTGTGGTTAGCGTGATTGAGGGCCGTCAGACAGATTGAAGAGGGAGGGACTGGGTTTGTTGTGGTAACGCTGCATCCAAGCATAGAGGAAGTCAAGATGGCACGTCTCTTAAAGATGGGTCCAGGAATAGCCAATGACCCAAGCAATAGGACTTTCCCTCTCTCCCCACCTGTCCCACTCCCAAAGATTTAATGCCCCCACACACTCCAACTCAGCAGGGGTGTCTTGGAAGAGGAGAGCCATTTTCTGTGAACGTGAAACTGGAGAGAGGCAAAGTTTTTCAATTCTAAATAGAACATTTTGGGAGAAACTCAGTCCTGCAGAGAAGCATCAAACTGGGTCAGTGGGAGTTGAGTCTGACTCGCAGCCAAAGCCCTCTCCAGTCACAGCTCACATCCACTCAGCTGCACACGCGCTGCCCACCCCCACCCCACCATGCAGGCCTGATGTTGGAGACCACGAGGAAGGGGATGGGCTCTCAGAGCTTCCCCGAGGTGTATCCCAGGGCCAGAAAGGTGCCCTGTAAGAAGGGCCATCTAGACCCGGGGCTAGGGAGGTTAGCGGGGGACTCAGAAGGATTTCTAGGAAGTATCGTTTTTGAGAAGACAGGGTTCTCACTGTGTGACCCAGGCTGGTCTTGAAGTCTTGACCTCAAGCTATCCTCCTGTCTTGGACTCCCGAGGGGATTACAGATGTGACAACACGCCTGGCTTAGAGAAGCGTTTCTAAACAGGAGAGCTCCTCAGTTATCTGTGGTAGTTTAGAGTGAAGGTGAAGAGATCAAATTGAAGACAAGGAGACCAGTCAGGATGCTGATGTAATCATCCAGGTGAGAGAAGACCTGGGAAATAATTATAGGGATGGGAAAGAAGAAAGTTTGGGTGACTTAGAAATTTTAAATGGCTGGGCTCGGTGGCTCAGCCTGTAATCCCGCGCCTTTGGGAGGCTGAGGTGAGTGGATTGCCTGAGCCCGTGGGTTCGAGACCTACCTGGGCAACTTGGTGAGACCTCAGCTCTACAATAAATAAAAAAAAAATCAACCGGGCGTGGTAACGCATGCCTGTAATTCCGGCTACTGGGAAGGCTGAGGCGGAAGGATCGCCGGAGCCCAGCAGGTCGAGGCTGCGGTGGCCGGGAGCAGCCACTGCACTCCAGTCTGGGCGACAGAGTGAGACTCCGACTCAAAAAAAAAAAAAGAAATTTTAAATGAATTGTTTTTAAAGACAGGACTTGGAAGTTACTGATTAGCGTGGAGGGAGAGGGGAGGAATGAGTGGGCCTCCAGGGACATTATGTCAGAGTCTCTGAGCACACTAGACCGAGGCCAGACCAGACTCCAGGCTCCCGCCTTGCCCAGGCAGCTACAAAGGAGGTGGGACCTGACTTGGTCGCAGTAAAACTCTTTTTTTTTTTCTGAG